GCCGAAGAAGCCGTGAAAGAAGAAGTCGCCGAACAGCCGAATCTTCCAGTAGCCGTCGCAGGACCGTCTGCTCACACATCAACAGAAGCAGCCTCAGAGGTTGCAATCGAAACTGCAGCAAAACCCTCAAACGTTCAGTTACTGCTTACCCGTTTCGTCGAAGGGGACATTGACATGTCGCCCGCTCTTTCTCCTTTCATTGTTTCTTCGTTTTATACTAACGCCGACTTTTATCTGCGATCATCAGGACACAAAGCCACAGGAGAGATTTGGCATCAGCGGTTAGGGCATCCGTCGCAAGGGATTTTAAATCATTGAATCCGAGCAGCAGTTCTTGATAAAAACAGTCTACTTTTACCTGACGACAAGGAGATGAAGCCGCAGTCTCGTCCGACGGTTTGCACCACGTGTCCGGTCGCCAATCTTACCCACGATCCATTTCCGAGTCATTTTCCTGGCTCCACACGTTATAAACTGATGCAGAAAGTCTACAGCGATATTCTTCACTTACGTGAAGCAGGACCTAAAGAGGAGCAGTATGTGATTACCTTCATCGAAGCATCTACTCGCTACGTTTGGACAGCCAACCTTCCTGCTCGTTATCTTGCTCATTCCGTCTTCGTCGCATGGCTTGCTGTCGCTGAACGAGAGTCTGGTGTGAAACTGCAAGAATTCCAGAGAGATGGCGCAGAGGAATACACGAGCAACACCTTCACAGACTACCTCCAAACCCTCGGCATCAAACGGAAGCAGTCACTGCCGCATGCACACCAACAGATGGGGGTAGCAGAACGGATGAATAGGACTCTGCAAGAGAAGATGTGTGCTTTGCTGACGCAGGCAGCTCTTCCTCCTCGCTTTTGGCCATATGCGATGGACCATGCCGTGCTGTCACACAACCTAGTGTCTTCTACGCCATTGCCCGAATTTTCTTCTCCGCACCTGCAGTGGACACGAATAGTGGGAAGTACCAAACTTTTACGAGTTTTTTGGTGTGTTGTACAGTTTCGTCCTCCAACTGCAGCACTCGGCATATTTTCTGAACGGGCAAAATGGGGGGTACACCTCGGCATCGAAAAATAGTATCACGCATGGAAGATTTTGGATCTTCGTTCAAACCAAATGGTCCCTTCACGTGATTGTCTCTTCTATGAAAGACTCACCTTGCCAGTTTTTCGTGCCCACCAAGCAGCAGCTGCAAACCCCGCTAGGCTATTCGAAGGCTCGCGTGCACTTGCAACTGACGAAGCCGAAGTTGTTGTACAGGACGAAGCAGTATCTGTAGCCTCCGAAGCTACCGCAACGGATATTCCCGAACCTGTCACATCGACTGGCATCCCGAAATGTATTCCTCTCGCAGATGCTGACCCATATGACGTTCACGAAGTTCACCTCAGTTACGAACGCGACCGTCAACAGCAGCCGATGCTCGTCGTCTCCAACGAAGCAGTTCGTGTTTCACCTGACGAAATTGGGGGGGAAGAAGGAGCAGAAGAAAATTTCGCAGGTGCAAACGAAGAACGTCCGCGTTTTACAGAAACCGGCTTACAGATACTTGGATTCGCAGTCGCAGTACAGTACAACGACAGTAAGATACCTGAACCTAAAACTGTTCGACAAGCTCTTACGAGTCCTCACCGCGAAAAATGGCACGAAGCCATGGACAGAGAGCTAGCAGCTCTCAAGAATCGCGGCACATGGGAGTTAATACCGTCATCAGAAATAAAAGGGAGAAAGGTGCTTACCGGAAAATGGGTCTTCCGTGTCAAGACTAATGCAGATGGGTCGTTTGAGAAATTCAATGCGCGATGGGTCATGCGCGGGTTCGAGCAGACTTACGGCATTGACTACGAGCTGACTTTTGCTCTCGTCGGTCGACATACGAGCGTTCGAATTCTGCTCTGTGTCGCCGCCTGCCGCAATCTACGACTTCGACAAATCGACGTGTCAAACGCTTTTCTCTACGCACCCGTCGATGCACTCATTCTGGTAGAGTACCCGCATTCGTATACCACTAACCCACCGAGCGTATGCCGTCTCAGAAAGTCGCTTTACGGCATTAAACAGGCACCCTGGCTCTGGCAGCAGTATCTTCACTCACAGCTCATCACTGCTGGATTTCGACAACTGCCGCATGATCAGGGGATGTATCTTCTAACTGACGGCAGCAACTATATTTTACTTGTCGCCTATAACGATGATCTCCTTTACGTCAGTACTACTGACTCGCTCGCCGATACCTTCATACTGAAACTACAGAAAAATCTACAGCTTACCGTCTCCGAAACAGTCTCATAGTTTCTCGGTCTAAACGTTACCTGCTCACCGACGCCTATTCACCTCACCGCTTCAAAGTACGTAGCCACACTCGCTGCTCGCTTCAACCTTACTCCTACTACAGTCTTTACACCGTACCGCTCACTACCGACAGATCACAAACCGAATACTGCACCATTGAGTCTGACCGGTTTACAGGTTTATCAACAGCAGTTAGGCTTTTTACTCTTCGCCGCCGTTACTTGCCGTCCAGATCTAGCCTACGCTGCTAGTCAACTCGCTCAGTTCCTACGCCATCCTGAAGAGGAGCATCAACTCGAAATTCTCCGCGCGCTTCAGTACTTTATATCGACACCAGACGCCGGTTTAGTCTAAAACGTCATCGGTTGTAAAACACTATACCTACACGGTTTTGTCGACGCCGATCACGCTGCTGACTCTACTAATCGACGATCGCGTACTGGATTTATCTACCGCCTTGAACCTATCGGGCCTATTTCTTGGAATTCGACGAAGCAGGAGCTGATTGCTCTCTCCTCTGCTGAAGCTGAGTTTATCGCTGTCTGCACAGCAACACGCGAAGGACTTTACCTACAGGAACTCTTGGAAGAAGCGAAGTTGACGACGAGTACTCAGTTTACTCTAAAGTGCGACAACCAAAGTGCAATTCGCATCGCGCACCAGCCTGGTTTCGTCAACAGGACGAAACATATTTCGCTGCGTTACTTTTTCGTCAATGATGAAGTCGAGAAGGGGAGAATGCGATTTGTCTATTGTTCGACCAACGAAATGGCTGCCGACTTCCTCACAAAGAAGCTGACACGACAAAAGTTTCAGTACTGTAACAAGCTTTGCGGGATCTTCAAGAAGTGACACTATCGAACTTCCATAAATGAAGGGGAGTGTTGTGGTATAATTCATACTTAGCATTTCTGTTAGTGGTTTATCGATAGATAGTGTCGAATCCTACTGTAGAAGATAAGTCCGCAGGATGACGTCAGCAAATAGCGCTCGTCATACGACAGTCGTTTCAGTCACGCGAACAGTCGCATCCCTTCGTTATCATCTAGGGCGCATAGCGCGATAGTGACGAACAGGTACATTAGCGAATAGGTACTTTCCTAGAGCTATAAATCCTTGTTACGTTTTTCTATTATTAACCTTGAGATTTCAACTTTGAGAACCTGAGACTTGACTTCCACATAACTATTTACTCAGGTTCACACTTACAAGACTTCCGCTGTCTTACTAGTCTACCATTCCAGTAAAGATCCTAGTGTTAAAATTATATAAGTTATAATTTTATATAGGCTTGGTAGGTTGCTACTGAACCTTTCTGTAGGGGGTACAAACCCCTCCTTGTACTCCCTTCTCTTCCTAATCCATCACTCTTTCTTCTCGACTTTCCTCCTACTCCTAGATCCGTTTTTCCTAGCGCCGTTCCATGGCGGCCTTGCTCCTATCCTAGCTAAGCTAGTGTCCTAACTTTAGGGACCTAGCATCCTAAGTTCTTAACATGGTATCAGAGCAGGAGATCCTTCCTGCTGGACTGCCTCCTCTCGCTTCCGCCATTTACTCCTCACCCTCATTCACTCCTGCGGCCATGGCGGCCGCGTTTTGCTGCAGTGGCGACGTCGCGCTGCCACTGGGCGCGTCGTGCCGCGACCGGCCCGACGCGCTGCCGCGGAGTCGGGCCGTCGTTCTGCAGTCGCAGCGTCGACGCCCCGCTGCGGCATCGACGCTGCCATGGCGGCCGCGGCGGCGTCACGCTGTGGCGTCGTCGTCTGTTTGCCGGCTGCGCCGTCCTGCCGCGGCCGTCTCGACACGCGACCGGGACGACGTCAGCGCGACGCCGCGGCTGCGCCCCTCCTGGGCCTCGTCGCGCCCTGCCTGGCCCCGTCGCCCTCTGCCCGGCCCCGTCGCCCCCTGCCAGGACGCCGTCGTCCCGCCTGTAAGCGCCGCGCCATTTATGGCGCGACGCTGAAGACTCGCCCCGCCCCCCCCCCCGCCCCCCCCCCCCCCCCCATTCTCCCTTCCCCCTGCGTCTTCCCTTCCTCCTGTCGCAGCTGCTGTCTTCTGCCCGGACGTTGCCACATCGCCGAGAGCCCTCAGCCACGGCAGTCGCCGCCTGTCGTCGGCGACCCAGCCGCCTTGAGCCAGAGCTCCGCGGCTGCTTGTCGCTGACCCGCCTAGACGCCGTCGGCTGCCTCGTGTACGGGGGTGTGTCAACGCTTTGCCTGAGGGTCAGATACCCGGCTAAGCACGAGCCTGAGGGTGTGCGGGGTTAGGGGGTGGGTTGGGTGCGGGTGTGGGGGTGTGAGTGGGCTTGACACTACCAAGCCTAGGGGGTGTGTTAAAATTATATAAGTTATAATTTTATATAGGCTTGGTAGGTTGCTACTGAACCTTTCTGTAGGGGGTACAAACCCCTCCTTGTACTCCCTTCTCTTCCTAATCCATCACTCTTTCTTCTCGACTTTCCTCCTACTCCTAGATCCGTTTTTCCTAGCGCCGTTCCATGGCGGCCTTGCTCCTATCCTAGCTAAGCTAGTGTCCTAACTTTAGGGACCTAGCATCCTAAGTTCTTAACACCTAGGCCAACACTCGAGGTTTTTCAAGTGTTTGTGTTTGCAGATTCTACACACTATCTCTGTGTTTGCAGATTCTACACACTATCTCCTGCAACACCTTGTCAAATTATTACAGGCTCCACGCTCTAAATCACCAATGTATCCCAATATTAGCAATGTGCAAGATACATTATTTTCATATGCTCATAACAAAAGCACCACCTGGAATCTGATCACCCCAAAGAATTGGGGCTTCAAGAACACGACTTAAACCGTTTTCCCAAACAACCATGTCCCTCCCCCTTCGCAGCAAGCACAACATGCCTCCCTTCCTGCTCGAAACGCTTTGAGCACTCGTAGCATCAGTCGCAAGCTTTTCACTTACACAATCACCAGGCCCGGTCAAGTACTCACCATTGGCAGCTACAGGAACAATCATCATTTGGTCCCCAATAATGCTGAACAACCCTGTTCCTCCCGATGCCATCACCCTCACCACATTCTCTTCATTAATCAACACACCCTCCTTCGCCTTCCCCTTCTCTCCACCTCTTCCCCCCTGCTCGCGTCCCTGGCCATCAGCAACCAATGGCTGAGGTCCACGTGTCAACAAGCCCCTCATCTCCCACTGCAAGTCCTCCCCTTGCAGCGCCAGCAAGTCTGGCCCCAGAGTCTGCTGCCTGTGCCTCAGCACCTCACAGGCTGAAGCCGCTTGCAGCAGCAGCTGCTTGTGACACCCCCCCGGCCCTTCCCCATAGTCGATTTCCACTGCATGGGTAGAGTCACTTTCATTATTGTCACCACCACCAAAAGGAGCAGCTGCATCCATGTCTCCATGCATCATTCCTTGCCCAAACAAAGGATCATCATCACCCTCACCCTCCTCCTCTTCCTCCTCGTCCTCTTGTATCCATTGCAGAGTGCGCGGGTCAAACGATGCCATCTGGCGGTCCCATCTGTACCGCAGCCTCTCGCTTCCCCTCCTTCCTCGTCCCCTCCCCCGGCCCCCTCCCCCACCTCCTCTACCCTGTGTGCCCTGCGCCCATCGACCAATCAGCTGCCAGAGGCCTCCCTCGTGAGCAAGCAGAGAGACAAGGCTGAGGCGGGCAGAACAAGGGAGGAATTGTTTTGTACGAAACCGGATGAGGGTTTCAACAACAGTCAACAAGGTACACTCATATCAACAACAAACAACAAGACAAGCATGATCCCTACAAAAAACCAGTCAGCTGACAGGCAAGACTGTAAGGGTAGCTTGGCTTACCCTGTCCACCTGCGTGGAAGCAGTCTCTGCCACTCTCCCTGTGGCATGCCCGCTTCATCCACCTGAGAAAACCAATGAGAGACGCGAGAGGGTGGCGGGAGGAGTTGGGTGGGAGGATGGAGAAAAGAAAGAACTCGGCAGTTCAGAAGAACATGCTTGTGACAGTATGGTTGTACAAGCGCATGCACATCAATGCATGCACGATTGCATAGTCACGCCATCGCTCTGTCCGCCAGCGGGTGCATATGGAGATCCACAATGACGTCAGCACTCACCGCCAGCACATGCACAATGACATCTCCAGGGCTATCAGGATCTCCAAAAACGACCTGCCAGGGCAGCCAAGGTGGAGAGAGGGGGAGAAGGAAGGAAGGGAGATTTAGAAAGAGCAGCATGGGTAGCGAAAGCAGGATTGAGAGGCGATCGGACAGGCAAATGCCTGAAGATATGTAAAGCAGAGGTGACACGAAATTTTAGACGATGTACATTGCAATGGCATGCAATGTTAATCCATGGCGAAGTCATACAATTTCACCCAGTGTCATTCATTGCAGATCAGGCGATGTCATGGGAGGGGAGCGGGACAATAACCTGTGGCGTGGCGCTGACAAGAACGACGTGCGAATCAGAAGCCGCCAGCTGGACGCTGAGGTAAGTGTCAGACGGCAACTGGGGTCCAGGTGTGCAGGCGCCGCGCCAGTGATGGCATCACGGATAATGAAGTCATCTCCGAAAATATACTGCTTGTGCTTCACTGCCACCATCTTGATGCGGCGTGACGAGCGGGACGAGGTGGTTTCGCTTAAACAAAACCATTGGTGGAGGACTGGAAGGCGAGAATAGTGATGGAACGGGAAAGATTCAATTGGGGGGTGAAGGGTGGATGGGGAATGATGGGGAAAGTGGGGGATGAGTGAGTGGGGAGTGGTAGGGAATGTACTAATTCAAAGCATCAATTTAACTGCTCACATTTTTATTTTGCTTTATACGAGATGGGACGTGACTGGCCTCAAGATGTGGATCGAAAGAAAAAAGCAGCTGAAGTTGCTTATTGAGACAAACGAGTGACAAGGAATATGGAAAAGCTCACTTGGGGAGAAGGCATAGAGTGAGTCCACACGAATGCGGCTGGGTGGCTGGCCTCCCCGAAACGAAGAGGAGGCGGATGAGGAGGAATTAATGGTGGTGGTGGAAGGTGGAGGGTGGTGGAAAACATTGACGTACACCCAGCTTTCTTTGTGGCCTAGTTGTTCTCTCAAACTGCGCATGCAGAATGAAAAAAAAAAGGAGAGACGGTATTAGTGGGCAAGTCAAGATTGTAACCTTGCATGGCTGACAGCAGTTCAAGCTGAAACTGTACTCACCTGTACACATGCTCACCAGACACGTGCTCACCTGTACACATGCTCACCTGCACACATGCTCACCTGTACACATGCTCACCTGCACACATGCTCACCTGTACACATGCTCACCTGTACACATGCTCACCTGTACACATGCTCACCTGTACACATGCTCACCTGTACACATGCCCACCTGTACACATGCTCACCTGAACACGTGCTCACCTGAACACGTGCTCACCTGTAGACGTGCTCACCTGTACACGTGCTCACCTGTACACGTGCTCACCTGAACACGTGCTCACCTGTACACGTGCTCACCTGTACACATGCTCACCTGTACACATGCTCACCTGTACACATGCTCACCTGTACACATGCTCACCTGTACACATGCTCACCTGTACACATGCTCACCTGTACACGTGCTCACCTGAACACATGCTCACCTGTACACATGCTCACCTGTACACGTGCTCGTCTCCTAGAGCCGCCTTCCAGCGGCGACTGACGCACTTTAGGACGCCATAGCACCCACGCGGCAGCATCGCGAAGCACATGAGCGCAGCGTCGTCAGGAATTCCCGGAATCAGAAACGCAGCATTCGAACCCATGATCGCACCTGCCGCCTATGCTGCTTTCGGACTAGAAGCAGATTACGGCACACTACGATTCTCGGACACGAAAATCTACACTGAAGGTCACAGTAGCATGGTCAATTTCACAAGCGCATACAAGCACGCTGTAGTAGAGAGGACCAGGACCAGTCTAGACCTGAACAACAGAAGCACACGGAAACGAGAAGCACAGCCGAGGTGAAAGCTCATTTGCGGTAATAAAGCAACATTTATTCGATTTTTCCTGGCTGTTTCGAGTCACGCACGCTCGAGAACAAACCGGTTTTGGTACGGGTCCTGAGGGATATGACCCCCTTGGATCCGGAACATTCGAGGACGGAATTGCTACGCGTTGGACCGGTTTTGGTACGTATCCTATGCAGGACTACGAGAGTCGATATCTTTTTGTACCCTGACAACAGTGAGTGGCATAGCCTCAGACTGGAAGAAACGCAAATGGAGGTATTGTAATGCAAGGTGAGGCTGCTTGATGACAAAAGCACCTGTGAAAATTTTGAACCTGAATAATGAATTCAGGTACAAGAAAGCGTGAGGAGCACGGAAATCGAGGCTGGACCTGTCCGAAAAGGCATTCGCCAGTGTTATGAAATAGGAAGTGTCAATCTACTAAAACGTGAGAATACAACGTCGCTATTGCAATAAGGGCACGAGGTTATATAGGAGTTGGCGTACTAGGGCGATAACCTCGGAACGTGGGTAGGTTCGGCAATGTGACGACAGTGCCGGACGCGACTCGGGAGAGGGTTGGGCCGATAATTGAGGCCGAACGTGACGAGTCAAGGAAGTCGGGTGTACGCGCTAGTGTACGACTCAGTAAGGAATGGAAATTCCTTACACTACCCCCCCCCCCGCCTAAATGAGACCGCGGGCATCGGAAACATTCCGACGATGATAATACGCTGTTAGAATCGGATGTGATTCTAGTTCAGCGAGCGGCACCCAGCTGTCGTCTTCGGACGTGCGATCGCGCCAGCGGACGAGAAAATCAACCATCCGACGGTTCAGCTGCGTCGTGACTCGATGGCCCAGAATTTTCAAAGGCTCGGTTGTCGGTTCCTGCAAAGGCGTCAGCTGCAGTACAGCGCGTTGGCGCGCCAAAGTCTGACGAACTGGGGATGTAGGGCCGTAAGAGGCTGACGTGGAACGCCGGGTGGTGACGCCAATCAGTCGGGAGTCGGAGGTGAGCAGTGACAGGTGTCACCATATTCGTCACTTGAAAGGGTCCGCAGAATCAAGGGCGGAGTTTGTTCGGGATCGGCAGCCGCAAATTGCGAGTGTCGAGGACGACGAGATCTCCCACTTTGTAAGTGACGTCACGTTGATGGCGATCGGCTTGTCGGCTTGCGACCAGGTTGGCTTTCCGGATGGCCTCGGCTGCTTTTTCTCAGGCGGCGAGAATGTCTTCAGCAAATTTCTGGGACCAGGGCACAAGGGTCTCGATATTCGGGGTAGAGGGTACCACCAGGTCCTGTCCGTAATTTAGGAAAAACGAGGACTGCTGCGTTGTCGCGGATGGCGCATTGTTATACGCGAACTCCAGCAGCGGAAGGGATTTCTCCCATGTCTGTGGGTCAGTACAGGTAGTCCGAATGAGCTGCTCCATAGTTTGGTTGACTCGTTCGGTCTGCCCGTCGGTCTGTGGGTGGTAGGCAGAGGAAAACTGTAGTTTGGTGCCGAACTGGTCCCACAGGTGGCGCCAGAAATTCGATGTGAATTTCGGGTCGCGGTCAGAAATAATGGCGGTGGGTAGTCCGTGCACTCGAATGAAGTTGGCGATGAACAGTTGAGCAGTTTGCTCGGCTGTGATTGTCTGTTGACAAGCGATGAAGTGCGCCATTTTCGTGAGTCGATCGACGACCACGAGGATGGCATCGTTTCCGCTGGGACCGGTTGGCATTCCTGTCCCGTAGTCCATCGTAATATGTTGCCAGGGTCGCTCGGGCGGATCCAACGGCTGCAGTAGTCCGGCTGCTCGCTGATGAGAAGATTTCATGATCTGGCAGGCGGTGCAGGAGGACACGTACTTGCGCACGTCGTCAGCCATGTTCGGCCAATAGTAGTTGCGATGCAACGTCTTCGTAGTTTTGTCGACTCCGAAATGTCCGGAAGTAGGGTTGTCGTGGGATTCCTGTATTAAAAGGGTACGAAGTAAATCGTAGCCGGGTACCCAAATGCGGGAAGTATCGCGCTTATTAAAATAGTGTCCAGCGGCGATGGTGTGCTGTTGATGAATAGCAGAGCGGAAGAAAGGGTCGATCTTGTAGCCGTTGTTAAATAGGCCGGTAAGTAATGAGCTGGTCTGGGTGATTAGTATGGCTGCGGTATGGGAAATAGGTCGGGTCAAGGCATCGGCGATATAGTTGGCGCCTCGTTTATAGGTGATTGTGTAATGGAAATTCGACTCGAGGAAATCGAGCCATCGCATCTGTCGCGGGTTGAGATTCGGTTGAGCTCGCAGGTACTGTAAGGATTTGTGGTCCGTTCGCACCGTGACGTCAGCGCCTGTCATGTAGCACCGCCAGGTCTTGAACGCGTGGACGATCGCCAACATTTCCTTGTCGTGGACTGTATAATTTTTCTTTGCGCCCTGCAGCTTCCGTGATTCGTAGGCGACAGGCTGTAACCCGTCACCGAAATCCTGTATGAGAATTGCACCGATGGCGATGTCGCTGCGTCGGTGATGACTTCGTATGGATGGTCAGGATCGGAGATGCGAAGGACGGGCGGCGACGTGAGGGCGATCTTCAGTTGGTCAAACGCAACTTGCTGCTTCTCTCCCAACCAAAAACAATCGTGATCCTTCAATCGGTTGGTTAGTGGGGCAGATAACCCAGCCATATTGGGTATAAAGCGGCGGACGTAGTTGACGAAACCGAGAAAACTCTGCAGTTCCTTGAGGTTGGTCGGCGGCTTCCATTCCTGGATTGTCTTGATTTTCTTGAGGTCGATTTTCACTCCTTCGGTAGATACGACGTGTCCCAAAAACTCCAACTCCTGCTTAAGAAAGTCGCGCTTAGACCCTTTCGTGATGAGGCGATTCTTGTGCAGCAGCGTGAAGACTGCATCAAGATCCTTTTAAGTGTTGCTCCCTTCTGCGGCTGTAGATTAGGATGTCGTGGAGGTAGATGATTACGCATTTATCCAAGAGTTTACGGAAAACACCGTTCATGGTTATCTGGAATGTCGAGGGCGCGTTCGTTAGTCCAAATAGCATCACCAGGTATTCGTAACTGCCGTAGCGGGTTCGGAAGGCGGTTTTGTGACAATCTTCGGCATCGACTCGAATTTGATGGTAACCCCCTCGCAAATCGATTTTCGAGAAGAACTTCGCTCTGCGAAGTTGGTCGAGTAGATCGTCAGCTCGCGGGATCGGGTAACGGGACTTGATTGTGATCCTGTTGAGGGCGCGGTAGTCGATGCACATGCGGAATCCTCCATCTTTTTTCGGGGTGAACAGGATCGGGGCGGCGTATGGGGACGTGCTGGGCCAAATAAAACCCTTCGTGAGAAGATAATCCAGTTGCTGCTGCAGCTCCTCCAGTTTCGGTTGGCTGAGCCGAAACTGTCGCTGTACTGTCAGTTGGGCACCTGGTTCCAGCTGGATGCGATGGTCTTCTGATCGGCTCGGCGGCAATCCAGCAGGCAGGTCGTCCAGGAAAATTTCGGGATACTTCCGAATCAGGTCCGCTAAATCCGGAGGAACGGCATCGCACAGCTTCGCAATATCTTTGACTGTTATTGGCGGCGTCACCTCGTGAAAATCGACGGCATACGCTGCAGCTCCCGCTTTTATCGTGTGTTTGAAAGTTATCGCATGGAGTTGGGTGCTTCGCATGCGAGGCCCCGTCCATTTCGGGAGTGTGCGATGAATCCCGTCGAGTTTGATGTTGCAGCCGCCCGTCGTCCAGTCAATCTTCGGGTTGTACTGTCGCAGCCAATCCCTTCCTAGGAGCACGTCGCATCCGTCGAGTGTAGTCGCCAGCAGCCCCATCCAAATTTTTATGTGCTCCCCGCAGTGGAAACCGATGTTCTCCACTCGTTCCCGTATGGCCAGCGGTGTTCCATCCACTAGGCGGGCGTCAATTTCGGGTAGACACTTAAGTAGGGGAAGACCCAATTTTTTAGCCCTGTCCGGCTATATGAGACTGTGACTCGCGCCTCCATCCACGAATATTTTCAGCAACACCCCGTTGACTTTACCCCCCACCAACACAGGGTGATCAGCAGTTTCATCCCCCTTATTCGTCCGGGTCCGGTCGATTGCAGCAATCGGGATCACGACCCAGTGGGGACTGTATGGCTCGGGCGAAGAAGCTTGCCCGTCAGTAAGGGGTCCGGTACTTACTGACGCGACCCATTTCCCGGTTGCTCCTCCGGCTTCTTCCCCATAGAATTCAGAGTGGCTACGATTTCTGGGCAGTTGCGTCGGATGTGACCCGGTCGGCCACAGTGATAGCATAGCCCCGTATTCGCGGAGCAACTGCGTAGATATCCACTGCGTCTATCCCTTGAATCGTGGCGCGCTGGTACTGTTCTCGAGAGCGACCTCCGTCGTAGAAGTTCGCCCTCGGCTTTGTGAGCGAATCAGCGGCTTCGGCGAGCTGGATAAAGTCTTGTAACCGCTTCGCAGGGCGTTGCAGTTTTATTTGGTACTGTATTTCAGGCTTCAGCCCGCCCATGTACCTGTCAACCTTCTACAACTCGTGCATGTAGCCACATTGATCCACCAACGTCAAGAATGATGCGGTGTATTCGGACAAAGATCCCAGCTGCTTCCACATGCGTAGAGTCTCGCGCGCTTTGTCTGAGTCAGGAGCGTGCTCAAACCGCTTGCGAAGTTGTGCGCACCACGTTGCCCACGTGCGAATGTGGGTTGCACCATACAGCAAATTTGCCTCGTCTTCGTCGCCGAATTCCTCGGACCACTCATGCTGTCCTTCTGTGCGAGTTGCCGCTGAGTCGACGATGACCTTCCACCACTGTAGGCGGCCCCTTGCAGCAATGTCAATGCATGGCTGATCTGTTTCTGATCATCTCGGATGCCCGAAGCGTTGAAATATATATTCATGGCGAATATCTACTGCCGCACCGTCATTTCTTTATTAGCCGGATCGAAAGGAGCGGGTTGCCGATATCTCACGCCGCCACTTGTCGAGCGCGGGGCTGTTGCCGCTAGTCGCGCCAGCTCCACTGGCGACGGTTGCTACTCACCCGCCTCGCTTCGTGCACCGTCAACCGGCTCCTCTGAACGCCTTTCTTGCGCCTGGCGAAGTCGTTGGTTCTCGTCGCGGAGGTTGTTGACGAAGCTTGTCAAATTATTCAACTGCTCCATTAACGCTTGCACGTCCACTGTTTCCCGGGCAGAGTTCGCAGCAGTCGAGGTCGTCTGTTCCTCAACTGTCGAGTCTACCGAGGCCATGGCGGTCAGGACGGGGCAGAAACTAGCGCACACGCTGTAGTTGTTGACGTAAAAATATTTAAGATCAAAGACAACTGTTGTGCAACCGTGTTAATCCCCCTTGACCACCCTTAACTAACTTAACGGGAAAACGGAAGGTTCCTGGAAAGTTCGGGCTCTGACACCATGTGTTATGAAACAGGAAGTGTCAATGTACTATAACGTGAGAATACAACGTCGCTATTGCAATGAGGGCACGAGGTTATATAGGAGTTGGCGTACTAGGGCGATAACCTCAGAACATGGGTATGTTCGGCAATGTAGCGACAGTGCCGGACGCGACTCAGGAGAGGGTTGGGCCGATAATTGAGGCCGAACGTGACGAGTCTAGGAAGTCGGGTGTACGCGCTAGCGTACGACTCAGTAAGGAATGGAAATTCCTTACAACCATCATAAACGGATCGAGTGGTAGCAATAAATCGATTCCTAATCCAAAGAGGACATTCTTCCTTTTTTTTTTCAAATCAACTCAATAGTGGCCGATATCTGCAATATGCGTGGTGGAAGAATACAAGACCATCCCACAAATGTGTGGATTATGCTTGGCTTTTGCTCAAACATTCTCTGAGTTGCACATTCCCTAGTAGCAATATCATAACACCTGTCATCAAGGGGGCACTTGAAACTGTTCATTATATCTGTACTATCGCGTACATGCCCGCTCGCCCAAACCCAATCATGTAAAGTTCAGGGCTGGAGGTTATGGTTGTCCCGCTGTCACATGGAGTCGCGCGACATCAAACGCGACACCGCCGGCCAGTCAACACGGCAACAGCCCACGACGCTTTGACTTTCGAAGCCTCCACATTTGTTGCGGAGGCATCTGGGCCAATCGGCGAGCACGAGAACCAAGCGAGAGGGTCTTGCGCCCTGACGTTGGGCAAAGCTGTGGGGGAAGCCGAGACACGAGCCAAATATCAGCCAATCATACAGCTACGGCAGAAGGCCCCGAGCCCAGGCACGGCCACAACGCCGCCTCGGTCGAATGGTCGGTGGGTAAGAACCTTGCCCCTGGGCTCGCCTGTCCCGAGCCTGCTTTAGGCCAAGAAACGAGCCTTCGCCTGATCCGACGAGCGATGACCGCGAGCACAGCTGGTACTACACATGGTTCAGTGGCCTTCCTTAGGGCGTGTCCAGCGTGTACGTCTGATTGCGGTTGGGTGAGGTTCCTCACATATCAAAAGGATGAATAACGAATCTAAAACGGTTGGGTATGGTTTTGATAAAAAGCGTACGCGCTGTACACATCTGGTACTGTAATGTAATGGAAGGCACCAGGTGCCCAGTGCCCTCTCAGACACAAGCATGAACACCTGTCCGAACTAGGCGCAGCACAAGGGCAGAAGCAGACATGGCAGCTCGCCCAGAATCTTAGCTCCAACCCCGAACGCGGGCCGGCAAAACGTGTCAAGATTAAACCGACGGCGCGCTTTCTCTCAAGCGCTCCCCCGGTTCCTTTCACTTGTCCGTACCGCATAGCTCCTACATCCACTCCTGGTTCTTGATTTGGCTTATAGCCGATACATCCCCGCTGGTAGGAAGATATTTCGCCGCTGGTTTGGGAAAAGCTCCTCGCATCTCCAAACCAGCCAGGCGATTAACTTCATGATGAGGTGCCACCCGCCATTTCTTGCTTTGCTCGCCACGTGGATCGTCGCTGGCGTGGCGGCGACGGGGCGGTTTCCTGGAAACATCCATACTTCCTCAGAATCGTTGACCCAACGCGCGTTATCTACGCAATCACTTGCAGAGGATCCGGTCCACGACAGTCCCGTAAATTACGCCGTGGATGGCGCCGAGGGTTTCGCTGACCTTTTAAACGCCGACGATACTCCTGTAGAAGTCGAGAACCTAGCGGCGCGACTGACGGCGTACGGGTTCACGGGCTTCGCGCATTTGGTTAGAGAGTCGGGTCTTCTAGAAGATCTTCCTCGGCTGCACGATTCATCCCCGTTAACAGTCTTCGCGCCTTCTAACGAAGCGCTCCTCTCGCTGTCCCCTGCCGCGCTTGCCAGTCTACAGTCCTTCGATAACCACGAGACATTACGCAGAATTCTCATGTTTCACTTTATCCCCGTTAAGCTGTCTCCGTTTGAGTGGAATGGTTCGGAGGAGACCCTTCTGGGTACACCCGTGGAGCTGCGAATGGGATCAGATAGTTTCTTCGTCGCCAATGTGGCTGTATCGAAAGCGAACGCGATTAAAACGAACAAGTACGACGTTCATACGATATCGAGCCTTCTTCTCCCGCCGACGACTATGGTTAGTAGCAGCCGAGGCGGGGAGAGAGGTTCGGCAGTTGCCGAGCCTGCTGAGAGGAAAAGCGCGCCGGTTCTCTCGCGGCACGGCGTTCGGCGGGACACGTTTCGAGATCCTGCCGTTGACAGTCCGCAAGCGGTTGTCCACAATTCGCGGCGTGTTCCTTTTGCGGATGGCGGTTCGGGAGGTTCGGGCGGTTTGGGCGGTTTCAAACGGAACGACTGGCGGGGGAGCAAAAGCTTCGAGCCATCTGAGGGTGGGAGCGAGAAGTACGAGGGCGCGCTGGAAGATGACGTGGCGGACGTGGCTCCACGGGGGAAAGCGCCGACAGCGGATAGGGGGAGCGGGGGAGGCGGCGGGGAGGGCGGGGGAGGTGCTGGGGCAGGTGGCGGAGCGGGAGGGGGAGCGGAAGGGGGCGATGCAGCGCGGCGGTCGGCGCTACTGGAGCAGATGCTGTCCGCCAATCTGCACCCCTCCGCCTTCGCGCAGGCCTCTGAGTCCCCCCCTGAACCCCCAGTCGAACCGTCCGCTTCGCCCCCCAGCCCCCCACCCCCACGCCTTCCCCCCCGCCTGCTGTGCCTAACACGCCGAACGCGCAAGCAGCCACGCTGTCGACGGGGGCCATCATCGGCATTGCTGTGGGCGGCATTGCGCTCCTGTGCGCCACTGTCGCAGGCGTTCTCGCCGTCTTCCTGTGCCTCGTTAGGAAGCGACCGAAAGGTACACTTCCTATCCGTACTCTTTGTACTGTAGTTCCTCTTAAAATTAACCGACAGAAGGTACTGTGACGTATTTTTGCCTTTTCATACTACCACCTAATTCACTGCAGCCAATCCCACATTGCTTCTTTTTTCTTTGCTCTCTGGCTGTCAGCTGAGGAGGCCCCTCCAAGCACCAAATACGCCAACCCCTACTACGACCACGAGTCAGCAGCAGCCGCTGCAGCAGCAGCAGCAGGCGCCATGGCCGCCGCAGGAGCAGGAGCAGGGTCAGGCAACCAGATCCAGCCGATGATCGTGGGCGGGTCGTCAGGCACGCCCCTGATGTGCCAGCAATACCCCCTGCCGCTGATCAAGCAGGTCACGGAGGACTTCTCCGAGACGCGCAGGATTGGCAGCGGCGGGTACTCGGACGTGTACCGCGCCTTGGACCCCATGGACCCCACGATCCCGTGGGCGGTGAAGCGGGCCAAGGTGCTCACGAATGACTTCAAAAGAGAGGTGAGGTGTCGTTGGAAAGACAGCTGTGTTTGTCAGCGGGGCTTTGGACCCCACAATTGCCTGCGATCGCCTGGGTGGTGGAGCGGGCCACGGTGCTCACCAACGACTTGAAGTGAAAGGTGCGCACCCATTAAGTTCAAAGCGTGTTTCTGTCACTTTTAACAGAGGTTTGCAACCATATGTGATCCACTCTTTCTGTCTTGACATGGAGGTCCCTATTCTCCTCCCCCTCCCACTCCCTTTTCCCCCCTTTCTCCCCCTTACACCGCATATCCCCTTTCTCCCCCTTGCGGCATTCCCTAAATCAGCGATATGGCGTCAAAGTACCACCCGAACCTGGTGCGTGATTGACAATGCGCCTTTGCCCCTTTTCTCTCTTCTCCTCCCCTCCCCCCCACCCCACCATCCCCAGGTCCACGAGATGTCGTCGAAGCACCACCCTTACTCTTTCATGCCGCTTTTATCTAAGAATTTATCTAAAGAATGACCCACCCAACCTGCACACGTCCCCAGATCCACGAGATGGCGTCGAAGCACCACCCGAACCTGGTGCGGCTGCTGGGGTTCTGTCTGGACATGGATGTGGTGAACGAGCGCACGGAGCAGATCCTCATCTACGAGTACATGGTCAACGGGGACCTTGAGAAGTGGGTCGGGCCAGGTGAGCATGATAGCTGGAGGATACGTGTACATGGATGGCTGCATCCTCATCATCAGGATATGTACATGGATATCTGCATTCTCATCACCCTCCCCCCTCTCCCTTCCACACTTCCATTCCTTCCCCTCCCTTTCTTTCCCCTCCATTCGCCCAATCCCAGAGGCGCCCAAGTGCCTGACCCTGTCGCAGCGCTTCAACATCCTGATCGGCGCGGCGCATGGGTTGGAGTACCTGCACAGCTTTGGCATCGTGCATCGTGACATCAAGCTGGCCAACATCCTGCTGGACCGCCACATGCACGCCAAGGTGGCGGACTTCGGCCTCGTGCGCATGGGCGAGGGCACCTCCGTCGGCACCACCAGAATTCTTGGGACTCCGGGCTATGTCGACCCGGCGTATTCGCGCACTAGAAGGGCCACCACGGCAACTGATGTCTACAGGTATGGTGGAGCGGGTTGTTGGGGTCGGATGGGGCACCTCTGCTGGCTGGACCACGATTCTGGACACCCCAGGATATGTAGACGGGGCTTACCTGCGCACTAGAAGAGCCACAATGGCTACCGATGTCTACAGGTACAGTGGGAGAGATTGTTGTGCGCCAGCTGTCAGATGCAGAATTTCGGCTATGTTCTGCAAAGCGCAAGGGTCCTGACAAATTGGGTGCTTGCTTTCATTTGGGTGCTTGCTTTCATTTGGGTGCTTGCTTTCATTTGGGTGCTTTCCCTTGCAGCTTTGGCGTTGTGTTACTGGAGGTCATGACTGGGCAACGAGCAATGATTGGCTCGGGCGAGCAGCAAGTCAGCATAAAGGACTGGGTGAGTGTGGATACTGTGTAAATGGTCAGCCTCATAAACCAACGGAACCTCATTTGATGACACTGGGTTGGTTCACCACATCCAGCCTCCCTCTGTTTGCACCTTCCCTCTGGTCTGCCCTCTCTCCATTCTTCACCTCAACCTGCACATGGTGGCTCCCGACTTCTTGACATCCCGTTTTCGTCCCCTTCCCAGGCCGATCAGCTTGTGCTTGCTTGAAGCTGTTAGCGTCTCATTAGTTGCTGCCTTCCCACATTCCTTTGCCGCCCTCTCAGGCGGATCACCACGTGCTAGCTCGCGATGCCAACAGTCTCAAGGACACCCGACTCAACATCCCCATACCCGACGACCTCATGCTACGCATCGCTAAATTCGCCTTGACATGCACTTCCATCCCCACCGCCAATCGCCCGACTATGAGCCAGATATACACGGAACTAAAGAATATGAAGCAGGAGTGTTTTGGGGTTGAGGAAAACGTGGCAGCTAATAAGGTGGATGCGGAAATATCGAGTGCTGCAGGAGAAGCGGCTATTCCTCTTGACGAGCAGATTGCTCAAATTGACGAGCTTGCATCAGATGCTTTTAGCATGGGTGGGTGGAGGTCAAATCCATCAAGGTCAGGAGGGACTAGTGGTACTTAGAAATAGGTTGCTTTCCTGGTACATGGTTTGAAATAGCAAGTACGAGTAAGGTGTAGGGTGCCTTTTCCCCTTTCCAGAAGGTACTGCTATAACTGTAGGTGTAGGTCAGCACAGCAACATCGAATAGAACGACCATACACATTATTTGTGTGCCCAGACCTAAAAAAATCCATTATAGTTGGAGCACCAAAAGAGGTCATGCTAACGCACCTTTGGCATCTATCCCCTTGTGTCTAGAGGTCTTATTATCTGGTTGTCCTACCGTATATGACCATAGAAGTACAAAAATTGTTATATCGTCTCCAATCTGCAACCAAACCCATCAGCCCCACATCGTACGCGTAATGTTCCGTGCTGGCATTCTGGGCAAACATGTTTCTCATGGGGTCGCACGATGTCAAAAGCAGCGATGCCTATCCAGTCAACAACATGCACAACGCACAACGCTCAAAGCTGCGCCAAGCATGACGCTTTGACTTTCTACCGGCCTGGTGAAATCCCAGGTGTGAATTCTCGACCAAACGGCGAGGACGGAGAGAAACCACACCACAACTCAGCAGCGGACTCGCGCCCTTACGTTCGACAAAGCTCTGGTGAAACTGTAACAGCGAGCCAGTTTTCAGCAAATCATAGAGCCAAAACAGGAGGTCCGGCGCTCAGAATCTGACACATCACCCTGGTCGGTGGAAGTGGTGGCCAAAACTGGTATGGGGGGAAACCTGGCGCTTAGGCTCGTCATTTTCGTTTGGAGGCTGCGTTGAGGCTTGGCGCTGACTGGCAAGATGTGATTTGAGACGGTATGACCCCGAGGACCCCGGATCCAGGCAGGCACGGCACTCACGAACCTGATTCTCGATTCTCGATTCTCAACAGCACAAGAGCGAGAACAGAGCCGCAGAAAGCAAATTCAAAAGCAAAATTACTCCCACTAGCATCACCACATTCAGCGCATTTCCGCGTTGTTAGACAAGATTGACGCGCCTCTCTGCTCACTGCTGCTTATATTCTTGCAATTCTCATATCGTGGTTTTCAAGCGTAATCCGTGCTCAAGAACTGGCTTCAGTCGACGCATTCAGCCTCTCGTTTTGTGCGGAGAGCTCCTTAGCTTCCACAAACGACTCGGAGTCAGCCCATGAGGTTTCTCCATCCGTTTCTCGCTTTGTTCGCCACGTGTATCGTGGCAGGCGTGTCGGCGACAGGACGGTTTCCTGGAAGTATCCGTAGTACCCACCCAGAATCATCGACCCAATACGACTCTCCCGCAGATTTGACCGTGAATGGCGCCGCGATTCCAGCTGACCTTTCTGACGTCGACGATTCTCCTGTTGAAGTCGAAAATCTAGCAGCTCGACTAATTTCTGACGGGCTCACGGGATTCGCGCATTTGATAGAAAGGTCGGGACTCTTGGAAGACGTTCCTCAGCTGCACGATTCATCCCTGTTAACAGTCTTCGCGCCTACTAACGATGCGCTCCTCTCGCTCTCCCCTGCTACGCTCGCTGGTCTACAGAACTCCGATAACCGCGAGGCGCTACGCAATATTCTTATGTTTCACTTTCTCCCCGCTAAAGTGTCTCCGTTTGAGTGGACCGGCTCGGAGGAAACATTTCTTGGTACACCCGTGGAGCTGCGAGTGGGCTCGGACAATTTCTTCGTCGCCAATGTGGCTGTAACGAAAGTGAACGCGATTAAAACGAGCAAGTACGACGTTCATACGATATCCAGCCTTCTTCTTCCGACGCCGCCGGCTGTGGTTACTAATCGAAGGAAGGAAAGAGGTTCAACAATCGAGCCTGCTGAGAGAAGAAGCGCGCCGATTCTCTCGAAGCACGGCGTTCGGCGGGACACGTTTCGAGATGCTGTCTTCGACGATACTGATCCGCGAGAGAATGTCTCCAGCGAACCGCAGGTGCCGCCTGTGGTTGGCTATGACTCAGCCGGTTCCGAGCTGTCTCAGGGCGCCAGCGCGGCCGCCGCGGGCGACATGGGGGACGGGGGAGCAACGGACGTGCGACGCGCGCTGAAAGAGGACGCGGCGGATTGGGGGAACGGCGGAGGTGGAGGAGAAGGAGGCGGAGAGGCGGCGCGGCGGTCGGCGCTGCTGGAGCAGATGCTGTCCGCCAATCTGCGCCTCTCCGCCTTCGCCCAGGGCTCTGAGTCCCCCCCTGAACCCCCCGTGGAGCCGTCCGTTCCGCCTCCTACACCTACGCCGCCTTCCCCCCCGCCTGCTGCGCCTAACACGTCATCCTCCTCATCGCCCTCATCGCCCTCATCGCCCCCCTGTGAGTGGGCCTCCATGTACCTTACGCTTGCTCCTGAGTGTCTGGCGCTGCTAGTACCATGCATGTCTGGCGCTGCTAGTACCATGCATGTCTGGCGCTGCTAGTACCATGCATGCATCAACTCACCCTTGAGAAGTCTTTACTATTTTCACCTCCAGACCCTTACCATTTCTAGTTCCCTCTCCGATTCGGCCTTGATTTCAACTAGCCACCTTCGTCAAAACCACTCTGTAAACGGGAGCCACGAGGCATTGCCACGCGGGATCTCATTTCTGTTCTGCCACCTGTGTGATCATTGTGCTGCGTGGGATACTCGTTTGTGTCACCTTCGCTACAGCCACTATGTCAACGGGAGTCATCGTTGGCATTGCTTCTGGCGGCATCGTTCTCCTCTGCTTCACTGTTGCTGTCGTGCTCACTTCATTCCTGTGGCTCTCTAAGAAACGACAGAAAGGTACACCTTAATCCATTCCAAAGTGAAAGACTCTTTATAGACAGATAGATACCAAGGTAACATCTGAAATAACCATAATAACTTCACTGTAGCAAATGTATATTGCTTCAAGCTTCTTCCTTCTCTAACCCCCTTCTATCTTCTCCTTGACCCCCTTCCCCTGGTTCCTCCTCGTCTCGGTATTTAACTCAGCTGAAGATGCACCTTCAAGCAGCAAACTCCACAACCCTCCCTACGACCAAGAGTCAGCAGCAGCAGCTGCAGCAGCAGGAGCCATGGCCGCCGCAGGACCAGGAGCAGGAGCAGGGTCAGGCAACCACATACACTCAATAATTGTGGGCGGCACATCGGACACCCCCCTGCTGTGCCACCAGTACCCTCTGCAGCTGATCAAGCAGGTCACGGAGAATTTCTCAGAGTCCCGGAGGATTGGCAGCGGCGGGTATGCGGACGTGTACCGAGCGTTGGACCCCATGGATCCCACGATCACTTGGGCGGTGAAGAGAGCCAAAGTGCTCACCAACGACTTCAAGAGAGAGGTGAGCCTCCTACTTGTCCTGACCAATGCATGTGTTTGCTCGGTGCCCTGCTGTCTTCGCTCCTTTTTCACTCGGCTCTTCTCTTTTGTAAAGTCTAAAGAAACATCCCTCCCGATCCGCACACGTCCTCAGATCCACGAGATGGCGTCGAAGCACCACCCAAACCTGGTGCGGCTGCTGGGGTTCTGTCTGGACATGGATGTGGTGAACGAGCGCACGGAGCAGATCCTTATCTACGAGTACATGGTCAATGGGGACCTCGAGGCGTGGGTCGGGCCAGGTGAGACGGGGGTGGGGCCAGGTGAGATATGGGTGGGGCTAGGTGAAACATGGGTGGGGCCAGGTGAGTCATGGGCCAGTCGCAGGCTGCGGCGCACGGCTTGGATTACCTGCACAGCTTTGGCGTCGTGCATCGCGACATCAAACTGGCCAACATCATTCTCCCCCCTTTCCCCCCTCCACCTTTCATGTGTTCGTCCCACGACCAGAGGCGCCCAAGTGCCTGACCCTGTCTCAGCGCTTTAACATCTTGATTGGATCTGCACACGGGCTTGAGTACCTGCACAGCTTTGGCATCGTGCATCGCGACATCAAGCTGGCCAACATCCTGTTGGACCGCCACATGCACGCCAAGGTCGCGGACTTCGGCCTCGTGCGCATGGGCGAGGGCACCTCCGTCGGCACCACCAGGATCCTTGGCACGCCGGGCTATGTCGACCCAGCTTACACACGCACGCGCAGAGCCACCACAGCCACGGATGTCTACAGGTACAGCTGTGAGATTTGTCTTTTTTCGAATGGGACATCTCTGCTACATAGTGCTTCGCGTAAGTTGCAACGTGCATGCTTTCCCATACAACTTTGCAGAATTGTGTCCTGAAAAATGTGTGATATTTGTGTGCATGGTTCATTGATATCTGTGTGCTTGCAGCTATGGAATTGTGATCTTAGAGGTCATGACTGGGCAGCGGGCAATGATGGGCACGGGTGTATTGCAAACGAACATCAAGGACTGGGTAAGTCTTTGCATTTCATTCAGTTTTTTTGAAGATCTACAAACGTGTGAAAGATGTAGTTGCTTTACGAGTACAAATGTGGAACTATGTTGGCAATATTCACACTCTCTCCCTCGCCGTACTCCCGCTGCCATCTTCACTCACTTGCGATTCCTGTTGCCCCACTCTCAGGCTGATCACCATGTGCTTGCTCGCGATGCACACAGTCTCAAGGATCCCCGACTCGACTTTCCTATTCCAGACGATCTCATGCTTCGCATTGCTCGCTTCGCCTTGACCTGCACGTCTATCCCGACCGCGAATCGCCCGACTATGAGCCAGATATACACCGAACTCAATAACATGAAGCAAGAGTGTTTTGGAGTTGAGGAAAACGTTGCGGCTAATCAGGTGGATGCGGAAATATCTAGCGCTGAGAAGGAAGCAGCAATTCCTCTTGACGAGCAGATTGCTCAAATCGAGCTTGCATCAGATGCGTTAAGCCTGGGTGCTTGGAGATCAAACCCTTCAGGGTCAGGGGGACTTCATAGTGTTCCAATGTGAGGTGCTTTGTTTTTTATTCTCCTAATTGTTTTGTAGTAGCATGTGCCATACTTCAAGTATATCAAACCTTCTGAAGGTGTAGGTGTGAAATGAAGACAGCAAACCAGCACAATTATTGGTGTCATGCACTGGGGGGGAAATTCGATTTTTTGTTGGGGTCGCAAGCAGCGCGTACGTTTTGTTGTCAAAACCTTACCCAACCGTTTTAGATTTGTGATCGAACCTTCTGGTACGTGAGGCACCTCACCCAACCGTAATCAAACGTACGCGCTGGTCGTGAGGGTGCGGCTGATGCAGGCCCTTGGAGCCGAGTCGCAACATTATTGGCGGTGTTGACATTCGCAACATCGAGACGAATTCCGCATCCCTGCAGTCACTTTCAACTATTTTTCACAGCCTGACCGATGTCGATCTTGATCACAATCCCAGTTCATCTGCCCGAACTCCCACCCAACCACAGCGTTATGATGGACGGCACACAGTCCTCGTTTCTGCTTGAAAACAAAATTTGTCCCTTCCTCTGCCAAACAGTGCGAGCACCCAGCCCAACCAGCAGACCCCCTTTACCTTCACCACTTCCTACCAACATTGTTCCTTCGTCTCTCTGAAAGAAAGATGGCGCAGAACGAGGTATTGCCAATTCTGTATCCTGTCATCGACGTAAAGCCCCCGTGCTGGCCGCTGTACCTCCATGCTGGCCGCAAATGCCTTCATACAATCGCTCAAATCAGTCTTCCCTCTTCTGTCGGTCACAATCCTCTTGGAAAATCCTAAACTGTGAGTCTCAACAAATAGCGCGTAGAGTTGCGGACACGGCGTAGCCAATATCCATCGTGCTTATATCTTACACACTGCCTCCTGCTACTGCCACTATGAGAAGGTTACCTTCCTAATTTTCATCCTAGCTGCAGGAAAGTTCACCTTAGCTGAGGTTTAGCCCCCCGCATTCGCCGAAATACGTTATTTGAGCGACAAAAGCGCCATGACTTGTCATTTCCGCCGTGCACGGTCTCTGCTCGCCGTCTTCGTGCTGCTGGTCCTTCTTGATAATGTGATTGCGCCGCTAGCTAACGCCACTAACTCAATTGGCACAGTCAGGCCGCCCAAACGTACTACCATCGGCAAGGGGAGGATTTATCGTTTTGAGGTTACAGTGGAAGGTTCCTTCAAAGGAGCAAGGAAGGTCGTACCGCCGCAACAACCTACGATTGCCCGCTTGCTTCCCGAACTGGCGACGAGGTCTCGGGTGCCAGAACCCGGGGATGATCTCGTTGCGAAGCTAGTTGCGACTGGTTACACGGCCTTCGCGAGTTTCTTGCGAAATTCCGGCCTCCTGGCCGATTTTCGGGAGCTTCGACTCCAAGGCCCTTCCACACTCACTGTTTTCGCGCCGACCAACGACGCGTTGCGTTCGTTTCCCACAGCTCTTGTTGCCGGCCTTCATTCATACGAGAACAACCGAATATTGCGTCAGGTTCTGCTATTTCACTTTGTACCCGGTATGATCTCCCCGTTTGAGTGGAAAGGCCTGCGACGGACCCTGCTCGGCGCGCCACTGCGGCTTCACAAGACGAGGAGCGGGCTTTTTGTGTCCAGCGTTCCTGTGATCAAAACGCATGTGACAAAATCGCACGAATGTGACGTGTACTCAATCAACAGGTTTCTGATTCCTCCAGTCGAGCTCGTCAACTCCCCTGCGGCAGCACAACAATCTACAAGCCAGCTCCACTCCGAGCCTCGTGGCGCCTGGGAGGGGGATGAGTCCGAGTCTCATGATCCTCATGAAGCTGCTGTTGCGCGAATGGGCGGCAGCGATGTTCGGAACAACGGGAGCACGGACCACCACGGGAAAATGCATGAGGACGGGGAGAGGCGCTGGGCTCGGCGCGCAATGAGGGAGGAGGGCGCAGTGGACGGCTGGGATGAGCGGAAGAGGAGGCTGGAGGAAATGCTGCTGGCCAATCGCCGAATGCTTGACTCACTTGGGCGCCTCGCCCCCGCTTCTGATCCTTCCCCATTCCACCCGCTCCGCCCTTTCCGCCTCCGCCCCTTCTGCCGAGCGGCCCAGCCCCACCTTCCGACGCCCCACCTTCCAAGCCTGCTCCAGCATCCGAGCCTGCACCAGCATCCGAGCCTGCTCCAGCATCTGAGCCTGCACCAGCATCCGAGCCTGCACCAGCATCCGAGCCTGCACCAGCATCCGGGCCTGCTCCACCATCCGAGCCTGCTCCAGCATCCGAGCCTGCACCAGCATCCGAGCCTGCACCAGCATCCGAGCCTGCTCCATCATCCGAGCCTGCTCCAGCATCCGAGCATGCACCAGCATCCGAGCCTGCACCAGCATCCGCGCCTGCACCAGCATCCGAGCCTGCACCAGCATCCGAGCCTGCACCAGCATCCGAGCCTGCTCCAGCATCCGAGCCTGCTCCAGCATCCGAGCCTGCACCGGCATCCGAGCCTGCACCAGCATCCGAGCCTGCACCAGCATCCGAGCCTGCACCAGCATCCGCGCCTGCACCGGCATCCGAGCCTGCACCAGCATCAGAGCCTGCACCAACATTCGAGCCTGCACCAGCATCCGAGCCTGCACCAGTATCCGAGCCTGCGCCAGCGTCCAAGCCTGCACCAGAATCCGAACCTGCACCAGCATCCGCACCTGCACCAGCATCCGAACCTGCACCCGCATCCGAACCTTCTCCACCTTCGGAGGCTCCACCGTCCAAGGCTGCACCGGGTTCGACGCCTGCTCCCGGCTCACAAGGAGCGCCACAGCCGCAGCCGCAGCCTCAGCCTCAGCCGCGGCCGCAGCCGCAGCCAGCAGCAGCACCTGTTAACTCCGCTGCCAGCCAAACGAGCTCCTCCCCTGGTAAAGCGCCCTCTGTCTCCCCCAGTACAGCCGTGGGTGCTGCCTCGAACTTCGTAGCCCCACCATGAAGGATTCTGACTGAAATTCTTCTTCTGTGCCATGCCCAGCTCCGCGCTCCATGCCACCCTCGGACCTTCAGTTGTCTGCATGCATTTCAATTCCAACATGATCATGTTTCTGACTTTTCCATCTGATTGCATTTTCTGGAGCACCGGCCAACTTTGAGCTTTTCCAGTCCCTCGACCACATCATGCATCCCATGACCCATGCCCATGCCCATCATGCATCCCATGACCCATGCCCATCATGCATCCCATGACCCATGCCCATCATGCATCCCATGCCCAACATGCATCCCGTGCCCCTCATGCGTGCAGCTACCCTATCAACCGGAGCTACCATCGGCATAGCGGCAGGGGGAATAGGCCTGCTCGCTGCAGTGGTGCTTCTGGTGCTCCTCCTATGCTTCCGCCAATTCAACCCGGGGTCCAAAGAAGGTGAGGAGCCCTACTTTGAGGATGCCTCCAGGGGAATGAGCCTACAGTGGCAGGGGGGATGAGCCTACAGTGGCAGGGGGAATGAGCCTACAGTGGCAGGGAGAATGAGCCTACAGTGGCAGGGGGAATGAGCCTACAGTGGCAGGGGGAATGAGCCTACAGTGGCAGGGGGAATGAGCCTTGGCACTGCTGCTGCGATTCTGGTGCTTGTTGTCTGCTACCCTCACAATTACCCTCACTACCCCCAGTCGCGCAATGGGAGGCAGGAAGGTGAGTGAGTGAGGCCAGATGGCAGGACCCGTTGCAAGCTTAGCTGATGCTGTCTACCAGGAATTCCCGTTCCACCAGGAATTCCCGTCCACACTACTCCTCTACCTATCCCAATGCCCTTCCCGTGCTCATACGCTGCTCCTTGAAAACTGCAAGGAAAGCGCTGGGGTTTCTTCCAGCAACACTCTCCATTTCTCCACTGAAACTGAGATTGCATGTACTCAAATTGACCCACATTGACATTCACCCGCCCCCCTTGCCCCCCCACTCACCTGCCCCCCCACTCCCTGCCCTGTGGCAGGAGCAGCAGCGGGAGGCAGGGGAAGAGGGGGCGTGGCAGCAGGAGGCGCAGCAACGGAGAGCAGCTCCCAATCCGGGAGTGCCTGGTCGTCAGGGCAGCGGTGGCAGGGTGGTTCAGGCTACTACGATACAGCTGCTTGGCCGGCTCGAGGCGGGCAGGAAAACAATCCCTGAGCGACTAACAGATCTGATTGCCAAAACGGTCTCTTAGCAGCAGCAGCAGCAGCGTGCAGGGTATGGAGCACCTCTCTATGTGTGTGTGGATGGTCAGGGCAGGGGGGAGTCAGATGGTGCAACAAGAGAATACAGCACGCCTAGTGCGCCGGTGCAAGGAGGGTGGGCAAGTGTCGCACCAGGGGGCTGCCTGCTGTGAAGACGGATGTTGCCTGGGCACCGGGTCCTCAATGCATTGTCCTTTGCTCTTTCATTGCCCTACAAGGCTCTGCTTGCAGATGACTCGTGGTGCTAGGAGGGAGAGCAGGAGAGCTTGAGAGCAGGCGAGCAGGAGAGCAGGAGGGCAGGAGAGCAGGAGAGTGAGGTTTGGCTCCCTCGTACACCGACATGTACAACAGCTTGGCTTAACTCCCCACGAAGTCAACCTCTCCCCAATGGAAAGAACGCCCACCTGGTTTCATTTGTCCCTTGAAATTTCGTTTTAGTGCTGTGTTTGTCGGCAGCACAGCAGCGGCAGTAACCAGTGGGAGGAGGATCCTCTCCCTGCTCTAGATAAGCCAGTAACGAACAAGGAACAGAGCATATAAGCCCCGAGCGAATAAGATAAGCAACACATGATATATATGGTGGACAACTCACAAATACACCGCACACAGGAGCAGATAAGCCCAACAACAAAATTGCATTGAAGGGCCTGGCTGTTGTGACCACCCCGATGATGTCTATCCTTGCGATCTGCTCGGCGATTGCCATTGCTTGTGCCGGCTGCACGCCCAGCAGCTCCACACCCACCTTGAGAACCACGCGGGTTTCCTCCACTCCAGAATACACACACGCACACAATCAATTTTTGAGGCACCTAAAAAATCGGATGCACGCCCAGCGGCTCCACGTACACCTTGTGAACCACGGCTCTCCTCCACTCCCACTCCAGAGCACACGCCTGCACAAGCACTATAGTGACCCCAAGCCTGGATGTTGCGATGAGCCGAGCATGTCTATTTGTGCAATCTGCTCGTCTATCGCCATCGCCTGCGCTGACCGCACGCCCAAGAGCTCCACATCCACTTGGTGGGCCGCTCTGTTATCCCTGACTACATTGAAGACCCCGGCTCTTGCGACCCGAGCGTGTCTATTCTTGCAATCTGCTCGTTGATCTCCATCGCCTGCGCTGACTGCACGCCCAGCAGCTCCACATCCACCTGGTTGGCTGCTCTGTTACCCCCGACTATATTGAAGTCCCCGGCTGTTGTGAGCCGCGCATGTCTATCCTTGCGATCTGTTCGTCGATCCCCACTACCTGCGCCGACTGCACGCCCAGCAGCTCCACATCCACCTGGTGCGCCACCCAGGTCTCCTCTCCTCCACTCCACTGCGCACACCCCTCAGTCACGATAGCGACTCCGCGCCCAGGTGTTGTGACGACCGGATCATGTCTATTCTTGCTATCTGGTCATCGATCCCGATCGCCTGCGCTGACTGCACGCCCAGCAGCTCCACATCCACCTGGTGGGCCGCCCGGTTCTCCTCCGCACCAAACCACACGCGCACACATCGCACGACACTATAGCGACTCCAAGCCTGGCTGTTGTGATGATCCTATCATGTCTATTCTTGCAATCTGCTCATCGATCTGCACTGTCTGCGCCGCCTGCACGCCCAGCAGCTCCACATCTACCTGGTGGGCCGCCCGGTTCTCCTCGGCCCCAAAGCATGCATCCCTGATGGCAGTGAGCTCGCTGTGTATGCCGCTCATGTTGGGCCGATCGGCCGTGGGCATCAACGTGCAGCTGATTGCCAGGTGGGTTAAGCGAAGGATGAGGTCGTTTGAGATTGGTGCGTCTAGCTTGGGGTCTTTGAGAGCGGTTGGGGTGTTGTTGGCCACCATTTGCTCGGCCTGGAGGTTGCATGGGGGAGTGAATGTGGAAGAGACGGATGGCAAGGCAACAGAATAAGTGATGGGTGCGTTTAGCGTTGGGTCCGTGAGGGCCCCTGGGCTGTCCTGGTGATAATTCGCTCGGCTGGGAGATGCACGGGGGAGTGCATTGATCCATGGGGCGATCTACGCAGCTTGGGCATGTGCTGAATGGGCAAAGGATGGTGAATGGGCAAAGGATGGTGAATGGGCAAAGGATGGTGAATGGGCAAAGGATGGTGAATGAGAAGAGAACAGGCTATGCCCATGCAAGCACGGGACAGCAAAGTTTGGTGAGACATGACGACTGAAATACATTGGTGGACTTCAGACACCCATACCCAGTCTCTGATGCTGAGCTGATTGCTGCTGTAGTTGATAATCGCCCGTTTCCCCGTGATGACCTCTAGTATCACGATGCCAAACTGTAACCGCAAACATTAGAGGAAGCAGCAATACACTGACATCACTAATTACATGCCTGAAGCCAGTCCACATGACCCGCTGTTACAACCTTACTGATGCCAAACAGTGCAACCCACCACAGAGCCCGCCACGTCTCACTCCTTGAAATGAATCAGAAAAAGCCACAAGGGAAGGGGCAAAGAATGTGAGCAGCAGCAGTACCGTACCTGTACACGTCAGTAGCCGTTGTAGCTTTCCGCGTGCGAGAATACGCCGGGTCCACATAGCCCGGAGTCCCAAGAATTCTAGTGGTATACACAGAGGTGCCCTCGCCCATGCGCACGAGGCCGAAGTCCGCGACCTTGGCGTGCATGTGGCGGTCCAGCAGGATGTTGGCCAGCTTGATGTCGCGATGCACGATGCCAAAGCTGTGCAGGTACTCCAACCCGTGCGCCGCCCCGATCAGGATGTTGAAGCGCTGCGACAGCGTCAGGCACTTGGGCGCCTCTGGGATTGGGCAAATGGAGGGGAAAGAAAGGGAGGGTAAAGAAAGGGAGGGGAAGGAAAGGGAGGGGAAGGAAAGGGAGGGGAAGGAAAGGGAGGGGAAGGAAAGGGAGGGGAAGGAAAGGGAGGGGAAGGACTTCTCAAAAACACCCTGCAAAATCAAGGACTTCGTTATCCTCGGTTGTTACAGCTTGGAAGTTACCTAGGAAAAATTGTAATAGATTATTACATGCTAAAATAGTGTAGAAGGGAAACCGCATCCAGTTGTTTGCCTCCCAATAATGGGGACGAACCTTCTGGAATGTCCCTCTCTGCATGTTTACTTGCTGAACTTGACAGCTAGAACTGGTAGCTGGCAAAGTGCTCCACCGGAACCGCGATGTTGAGATTGTGATGGCTCAATTTCTTAGAGCCTACACAAGCGAGGAAGGGAGTAGAAATAGATCGTAGTCAGTATGTTTGACTCTTAGTGCGCTGATGAAGGCCTATTGTTGGCCGAAACGCGTTCGCACGCGACATCCGGGCCTATTGTGTCTGGCGTTCTGACTTGAGAAATCTTTCTCTTAGCTTTCTCGCTGTTAAATCTTAGTTCTAGTCTAAGATCTACTCTTAGGAGGCTTGCTGCGGATCGAATCCTATGTTTTCCCATCTGTGACAGCGTCAGGCACTTGGGCGCCTCTGGGATTGGGCGAATGGAGGGGAAGGAAAGGGAGGGGAAGGAAAGGGAGGGGAAGGAAAGGGAGGGGAAGGAAAGGGAGGGGAAGGAGAGGAAGTGCGCTGCGACAGTGTCAGGCACTTGGGCGCCTCTGGTCACAGGTGCACCGTGGAGGAGGGAGAAGGAAAAAGGGGGGAGGGAGAGGGAGGGATGCAGATGGAAGTGAGGAGGAGGGAAAGGGGAGAGTGAGAATGCAGGCATTCGTGTTTGAAGTCACCTCCACTTATACAGTGAGATGGCATATAGCAACATGGCATATGCCCACACGGCATATAGTCACATGGCATACAGTCACAAGTCACAGTACCTACCTCGTCTCCCCTGGGCCCACTCACGTTTCACCTGGCGCCACCCACGTCTCTCAGTCTCACCTGGCGCCACCCACGTCTCTCAGTCTCACCTGGCGCCACCCACGTCTCTCAGTCTCACCTGGTCCCACCACGCCTCAAGGTCCCCGTGGGCCACGTACTCGTAGAGCCACAGACACATCCATTCCAATGGGACACATCCATTCCAATGGGACACATCCATTCCAATGGGACACATCCATCACTCACCTGGCGCCACCCACGTCTCACCTGGCCCCACCCACGTCGCTCAGGCTCACCTGGCCCGACCCACTTCTCGAGGTCCCCGTTGACCATGTACTCGTAGATAAGGATCTGCTCCGTGCGCTCGTTCACCACATCCATGTCCAGACAGAACCCCAGCAGCCGCACCAGGTTCGGGTGGTGCTTCGACGCCATCTCGTGGATCTGGGGATGGCGTGGGGGAGGGGAGGAGTGGGTGAAAGGGGCAACGGCGCATTGCCAAATACACACCAGGTTCGGGTGGTGCTTCGACGCCATCTCGTGGATCTGAGGACGTGCGGGATGGGGAGAGTGAGGGGGGGGATACGGTTGGTTAACGTTGGGATTGTACACGATAGGAATAATAGCGTAGGAACGAACATAAATGTGAGCTTCCAAGAGTCAGGGTTGACTGCCCTCACCCCACAATAAAGTCAAAGCCTAATGGCAATATTGTCCTGCTGACTTGTCCTTGCCTGGCATTGAAGGTATTTGCGAGCATTTTGAAACACTTGACCACCCACACAACCGAAGGCCATTGAAATTCAAGATAATAATTCTCCCTCGAGAAGCTACTCACCTAATTCAGAGAAAAGAAGGGTCTATAAAACCCACTCACCTCTCGCTTGAAGTCATTGGTCAGCACTTTCGATCGTTTCACCGCCCATACCACCGACGGGTCCCTGGGGTCCACGGCTCGGTACACGTCAGCGTACCCGCCGCTCCCAATCTTCCTCGCTTCCGAGAAATCATCCGTGGCTTGCTTGATCACAGCAATGGGGTACTGCTGGCACAGCAGCGGGTTGCCGTGTGAGCCGCCGCCAGGTGCGATGGGAATGCCACCGCCTGCTCCTGACCCGCAACCAGAGCCTGCTGCTGCTGCCGCTGCTGCTGCCGCTGCTGCTGCTGCTGCAGTAGGGTCTGTGGGGGGTTCGTCCCCTGCTGGGAAAAGGGAGAAGAGGGTGGAGGGAGGGGCAATTGTGATGAGCGCCATAACTTGAGATGTGATCAGAGCCATGCATCTGTATCGATCACGGCGGTGCAGGAGAGAATCAACTGCAGGCCTCCGAGTGATTGTGAGGAAGCTATTTTTGAGGCGCCTAAAAAATATGGCGGTACAGGAGAAAATACACTGCAGGCCTCCGAGTGATTGTGAGGAAGATCAGCGTCGGGAGGGCGAATGTGGTCATCAGTGCTGCTGCATCCACACGATCAGCATGTTCAGTCGTGCTTGTGGCTGCTGCAGCAGAGAATTGCTACCTTGTGGGCCCCGTCTGCGTGTGAAAAAGAGGAGCACGACGAGGGCGATCGCACTGCCCAGTGCTGCCACTCCCCCCACTGCTATGCCAATGATGGCTCCTGTGGAGAGGGAGGAGGCTGGCAGGGTAGGAGAGGGGAGAGGAGGCGAAGAGGAGAGCTAGGTGCATGGGCTTGCTTGCTTGTACTGCAATACCGACGATGTCTCCCAGAGCCTGTGGAGAGGGAGGAGGCTGGGAGGCGAAGGGGAGAATGGGGGGATTGAGATGCCCGCGCATGGGTTGAGCAGGGGGGAATGGGGGGATTGAGATGCCCGCGCATGGGTTGAGCAGGGGGGAGACACGCAACTCGCTTGCACGCGCATGGTCTCAACCCCCCCGTGAGATACTGACGAGGGCTCCCGTGTATAGGGAGGAGTCTATTTTTGAGGCGCCTAAAAAATGAGGGCTCCCGTGTATAGGGAGGAGAAAGCGGCGAGACGAATCCAGCTTACACTGAGGGGGAAGGGGAGACTGTGGCTGGGGTGACGGTGGCGGGAGGGTGGCGGGGGGGAAGATGGCGGAGCGGAAGATGTGGGGGGGAAAGATGGCGGGGGGAAGGATGGCAGAGCGACAGGGGGAGGCTGCACTGGCGACGGTTGAGAGCCACTGGCAGGGGCGGCGGCGAAACCGTAAGACTGCTTCGGGGTCTCAAGGTCGAGTCGCCGCAACTCGCTCCCCTCGCCCAGCTGCACTTGCAACCCGCTACTAGCTTCTCCGATTTCCGGTATCTGCATGTCCGGCGGTACGAGCAGCCCGCGGAGGGAGTATACGGTGAATCCGCATTCAGTTATAATGACCTTCTTCACAGTCACGCCGTCTACTGTCAACTGCGGGTGATTGTCGCTGCTCAAGACGACGCGGGAGCCCTGGAGAGACCGTCTAGAGCCCGACCAGCGAAACACACTGATCTCCTCGGGAACGAAGTGGTAACGCAGTATTTCGCGAAGCTTTCGCGCGTTTCCCGGGGCCTGGAGGCTCGCGAGGAGGACCGGGGAGAGGAGCAGAAGGGAGAGGTCGGTTGGCGCGAACACTGTAGCCCCTTCACTAGATTTCGCTGTGAGGGTCTTAACAACGGTTTCGAGCATTCCGGCATGCGCCAACATGCTTTTGAACCCCGAGCAGCCATGCATCGATAGCACGTCCCCGAGACTGCTATTGGCGCATTCGCCTCCGCTTCTGCGCGGATCCGCCAGGCCGCCTGGCGGAGAAGTGGAAGGTTTGACTAGAGCTTGGCGCGTTTGCGATTCCTCAGTATTGGCCACTCTTGACGAGACCGTGACATTCGCTGTTAGTAGTAGGAAAAGTATCAGCGGCGGGAACCGTATGCAACGGTAATTATCCATGAGGATCGTTTAGGGGACAGCAGCAGCTTGGTTATGATGACAGGGAGTTCTGCGAAATTGTAAAAATATATTACAAGGGAGGGCACAGATTAAAACTGAATCAGATCGTGGGAAGTAATGGAAGCCATTCAGTGATCATCTCTCGTCTGTATCGAAATACGATTCCAATCCATCGTACGCGCTCTGCGCGTGCTTTGCGCGAGCCATGCTGCAGTATCTTCCGTCTTGAGGAACGGTTGTCGGTCGCCTACCTTTCCCAGATAATACCATCTCCTGTTGTCTCCCAAATATGGTACACTACAATTTCCTCCGTAGCATTCACCAGTGCTTTCTCGAATCTCGATTCGGCTCTACTGGATGTGGCCGAATCGCTGCAGTGCAGTTCCCCCATTTCTTGAAATTTCTGCATTGGCTTTATGCGGCCCGGTGTAAGCACAGCTCACACGATGTGGTTGTGGCATTGGCGTTTTTTTGTCCGTCACGGAATATTCGCTCTTAACTTACAATGTGCAAGTACAATATTGCTGCAATCACATCACATGCTAAGAAAGCCCATCTACATAAACGCATATTGAAGGGGCCAACAAGGTTGTGTGGAGTGCTAGCAGTGGTTACTGTATCATGCCGGAAAATGGTACGGTACAGCACATTGATATACTCGTACCACGAACACCTTCACTATCCCACAAGCTGTAGTGCCAACTGAAGGGTCAACATAGACATGCTCATCTGCACAGGAGAACGAAGGGAGAATAAATGAAAGCTTAATAAAAGAAGGTCTGGGATCAGCCCAGGCAGCAACTGATGATGAAGTCTCGCAAAAATAACAGTTATACTTGCCTGTGCGCGTGTACATTGATAAATGGAGACTTCTGGGCGTCAGCAGCTGGTAAATTGAAATTAAAACCAGGACAGGTCACAGGGGAAAGGAGATAGGAGAAGATTTTTGAGAAAAAAAAATGTGAGTGTGAAAAGGAAACCCTGACTAGCAGCTTGGACACAATATTCAGATGCTTGGGGTCTGATTAAACACCACTGCATGCAAATGGATGATGATATGCAGACATTGTATTGATGAAGCTGTCAGGAAGACAGTGGGCTGAGGAAGCTTAGAAAGAAAGCTGGGTGAATTGACGTTTAGAGGGAGCTAAGACAGACCCCTGGCAGAAGTAAAAGCCGGCGGAACCAATGGAAAGCTATAGCGCCTTACGGCACTGTACAAGAATCCCCTCAGTGCCCGAGCACTGTAGTTAATCTGATAGAAGTCTCCCTTTCAACACGACAATAATAAGAGAGCTGTTTGGGAGGATAGCGTGCTAGGCTAACTACAAGAAATACGTGACACCGTAGCGTTAGGGTTTGTTAGGGACACCACAAAGGGCCCTAAAAAGGTAGAAGGGAAGGAAGAATGGACAGGCGAAAGATGAGAACAACCGTCCGCGGAAGAGTAACGGATGTTCCAGAACGGCAATGGCAGGTTACGATTATAGCGGCGCCGACACTTACGGTTGAGCGACGCGGTGAGCTTCGCGACGATGTAACCCGTCACGGCGAAGCCGAAGACGAACGGCCAGTTTCGCTTCGCCTCGCTCATCGCGACCTGCGCAAGGGGCTTTCCCACAGGCATGGTGGCTGGATCCGGAGATCGCGGCGGAAACGGCGGTGGGCGGACGTGAAAGCGAGCTTGGAAGCGAAGTGGGTGGATTTGCGTTGCGACGGGCAATGATGCAAGCTGCTGGCAGTGGAGAAATGAGGTGAGGCAGTGAAAAAGTAGACAGTGGTGGGAGTTGGCAATGTAACACAACAAACGGGAAAAATACTATTAACGGCTGCACACTCAGGTCAGGGTATATTGCTTGGGGTTCATTTCTCTAAGGAACTCCTAACTTACAGCCCTGAAACCAAAGCCATGGTTCAATTTCATCTCAATGTTGTAACATATACAAAGCTATTGCACATCACACAACTTTGAAGACAAATGTTAATTAGGCCTCAAGACAAGCTAACCCGAATTCCTTGCCACTAGTACGCCTGGGAAGAAGCCCTCGAGCCACTACCGGCTCGACGAGCCCGCCCTTCGCGCCCAGATGGCACCTCCCCCGTGCCCCTCGCACCCGTCCTAGGCGGGTACCCTTCCTCACCCCTACCCCTCCCCGTCGCTCCCTGGCGGTCCGCCGACAAATTACTCTGCCGCCGGGCACTGCTACCAGACTGCTGACTGTACACTGCACTCGACCCAGAACTCGACCCCGAAAACGTCCGGTTCAGGTTTCCGGGGTTGCCTCTCGGGGTGTTGACGGACGGGGGCGGGGCGGAGTTGGGGGTGTAGACGGCAGGAGGGGCGGCGGGGCGGGCAGGGAGGACCTCCACCACTTGGGGCTCTTCTGGGGGAGGGTCTATCTGAACCTTGCCTGTGAAGCAGAAGACGTTGACCTTGGTGCGGCGCAGCTCGTAGGGCAGCAGGCCCGAGCTGATGTCGTCCGCCATCACCTGGTGCAGGGGGGTGAGGAGGGCGAACAGAGAAGAGTGGAGGAAGGTCAAGGGGAGAAGGTCGGTGCTGATGTCATTCGCGATCACCTGGTGAGGGGGGGTGTGGGGGATGGAGGGAAGAGAAGAGACAAGTGAATGGTGAAAAATCTGGTGACTTGACAGTCAGTACGCAGATTTGATTGGGATTTCTTGAAGAAACTGAGGGAAGAGACTTACCTGGAGGTCAGCAGCAGTGTGTGGCAGGCTGTCCCGTTCCTGCTCCTCACTGCCTCTAGCCCCACCTTGATGCCACATCCACCCTCACCTTGAGGTCCGCAGCGGTCTGTGGCAGGCCATCTCTGTCCTCGCTGTCCGCTCTCGTCCGCGCGTTGGCCGACCTCTCTGCCTGCAGCGTCGTTAGCATGTGCTGTAGCATGTGCTGTGGCATGTTCTGTAGCATGTGCTGTGGCATGTTCTGTAGCATGTGCTGTAGCAGCACCTCAGGACTCACCTTGAGGTCAGCAGCAGTCTGGGGCAGGCCATCTCTGTCCTCGCTGTCCGCTCTCGCGCGTGCGTTGGCGGGGCGAGCTGCCTCCTGCTGCAGGGTCTGCAGGGTGCGCTGCAGCAGCATCTCGCGCAGCTGGAAGAGGATCTCCTCCAAGGCCGGGGATGAGAAGGGGTGCAGCACGGTTTCAAAGTAGTCCAGCTGTTGGGGGTACAGAATGCATTGACGAGAGTGCGGAAAGGAGGACTGTATGGGGACCACCAGCGCTGCAGCAGCATCTCGCACAGTTGGAAGAGGATCTCCTCCAGAGCCGGGGAGGAGACGAGGTGCAGCACGGTTTCGAAGTAGTCCAGCTGGGTGCGGGGGACAGGGGAGGGGGGGCGGAGGGGAAGATAAGCTGGAAACACTGCTAGGGAGGGAGGGAGTACAGTGAAGTGTGGGGGGTGGGGGGTGAGGGGGGGGGGGGAGGAGGAGCGATGAAACAATGAGAAGACTGGAGTGTTCGTGTGACCCATTTAAGCCGCCTCAAAAGCTCCAACCACAGCTGGCCTCAGATAACACCCACCTCCACGGAGCCCCTTATCAACTCACCTCCACGGAGCCCCTTATCAACTCACCTCCACGGAGCCCCTTATCAACTCACCTCCACGGAGACCCTTATCAACTCACCTCCACAGAGACCCTTATCAACTCACCTCCCCTGAAAGCTGGCAGAATGCGTTGGCGTCCAGGTGCTGCAGGTCCTCGTGCTGGTACGCCACCTGCTGCAGCGTTTACAGCGACTCGTATCCCCCTCAGGCACACCTACCTCCACCGAGAGCTGGCAGAAGGCGTTGGCATCTAAGCGCTGCAGGTCCTCATGCTGGTACGCCACTTGCTGCAGCGCGTCCATGAGCCCCTCTGCCAGCGTGTTGATGGCCTTGTCCACGAATGGCCGGCACCCCACGTGCACCTGATATGGGTGGCATGGGGTGTGGGGCATGCCGTATGATATGTGATGTGTGGCATGCGCATGTGGCATACACTGTAAAAGATGCCCCATGCACTGTTCCAAGCCTCTCTAACCTCAGTTTGGCCGCATAGTTTGGGACATCGCATGGATAGAAAGCATGGACATGTGCTGACCTCAGCATGGACACGTGCTGACCTCAGCATGGTCACGTGCTGACCTCAGCATGGACATGAGCTGACCTCAGCATGAACATGAGCTGACCTCAGCATGGGCATGTGCTGACCTCAGCATGGGCATGTGCGGACCTTAGCATGGGCATGTGCTGACCTCAGCATGGACGGCCACGAGAGGGTGCATGAGCTCGAGAGCCGAGTCCCGCAGACCCTGTGGCAGGGAGAGAGGAGAGGGCGGGACAAAGTGAGGAAAAGTAAGTGTGGGTGTGGGGAGGAGGCTTAGGGGGAGAGAGAAAAGGAAGAGGAAGGGAGTGTGAGGAATGAGGACACAGACCCACGGCCATCAGTGGACAGCCCTACGATGGACCTACCATGGCAGGTGGGGCAGTGGCCCAGGAGGTGCCATCCTGAAGGAAATGCCTGCTAACAGCGAACAACAGATGGTTGGCCTCACTGGCAATGTCTTTTGATCGCCCAGCCACGCCTCGAGCTCCGCGGACACGCGCGAGCCAGCAGACACACATGGCTGGAGGAGCAAGCTGGTCGCCCAGCCATGCCTCGAGCTCCACGAACTCACGCTCCACATCTCCCAGCAGGGCACGCAGCTACACAGCAACACAGCCTAAGTGGGCACCTTACATTTACGTTGGTTTACGTTTACGGTAGTTTACGTAAGTGCGCCCAAAAAGGCATACGTTTACGGTCTGCTAAAAAATAAAATCAGCCTGCCCGATTTCTTTTTGCACCTCGTGTCAGATCTCAGGGGCGAGAGCTGACACAAGGTTCCCTGACATGCGCGCTTGACACGCGGTAGGAGCACGCCCTCATTCCAGTGAACATTCCAACTCGTCACATCGCATGTGCAGCGAAACTCAAACTCATCGGGAAGCAAGTTCTGCTACCCAACTACCAGCAGATCTCCCCGTCATCGGAAACCTAGCACGACCAAGTATCTAAGCAATTCAACATAGCCTAGTAGACGTAGATTATACCCAATTCCCCTCCCCCCCGCCTGCCATAAATCCAGCGCCCACGTCCCTTGGTATTACTTGAGCGAAATCACTATACCCTCTCTCTCGCCTGACCATTCTGCTCCTAATCCGCCGCCTAAGGGTTTGAGACATCTGTCGCTTGGCGTATCAGCGCC